CAGATTGAGCCAGCGAGGGGCCTCATTCCACAGGGCTTGGTGGGAGCCCTGCTGGTGTCCAGGCTCCCAGATGCCTGCCCAGGGCCGACCTCTCCAGCGGCCTTTCCTTGGATGGCAGTGGGGCCTGCTGTACTCACTCTCTCGTGCACAGTGTGTGTTGGGAAGAGCACTCGGTTTATAACCCTACAGTGCAGGGGCTGGTCTCCACGTGAATGTGCCCGATGAGAGCATGGGGCATTTCCCTCCTGTCCTGCACTGGTGCCCTTCTCGCCTCGCATTTCTGGCGCCCCCCAGTGGAATGATTGCAGGGACAAATTGGAATGCTTTACTAAGTGAGGGTGCTCCTTTTTTATTGCAAGTTGAGAGAGTGCGGGTGCTCCTTTTTTTATTACAAGCTAAGAGAATGAGGATTCTCCTTTTTTATTACGAGCTGAGAAAGTTAGGGTACTCCTTTTTTATTACAAGCCGAGAAAGCATACTCTTTTTTTAGTACAAGTTGAGAATTTTTTTCCATCCTTCCACCTGCCCTCTCTTCCCTCCCTCCCTCCCTCCCCTCCCTGCCTCCCTCCCTCCCTCTCCTCCCTGCCTCCCTCCCTCCCTCTCCTCCCTGCCTCCCTCCCTCCCTCCCCTCCTTCCCCGCCTCCCTCCCTCCCTCCCTCCCTCCCCTCCCTTTCCTCCCTCCATCTCTCTGTGTTTCTTTTTTTGAGGCGGAGTTTTGCTCTTGTTGCCCAGGCTGGAGTGCAGTGGCACCATTTTGGCTCACCACAACCTCCACCTCCCGGGTTCAAGTGATTCTCCTGCCTCAGCCTCCTGAGTAGCTGGGATTATAGGCATGCGCTACCACACCTGGCTAATTTTGTGTTTTTAGTAGAGACATGGTTTCTCCATGTTGGTCAGGCTGGTCTTGAACTCCCAACCTCAGGTGATCTGCCTGCCTCGGCCTCCCAAAGTGCTGAGGTTACAGGCGTGAGCCACTGCGCCTGTCCTTTTTTCTTTATTCTTAAGTGTTTTTTCTTTTTATCGTATTTTTTTTTTACTTTCTCAAAAGGCAATTTGTATGTTGAGAAGTGCCAGTGAAAAGAAGCTGTGATGTATTATGATTTACTTTGTTTATTTTGATGTCTGTCTGCTGAGCTAGCTAAGTTATGGCCATTGGTGTGTGGTGGGGATTCTGCAGGGATGTGGGGAGGAGCTGGTGAGTGGCCTGCATTTCTGGCCCTGAGGACGATGGCATTTGAATGGCTTTAGAGTGGGCATTGGGTGGCCATGGAGGGCAGTGACTTTAGATTGTGGCCAGTGGCCTCTGCTTTTCAAACAAGACTCATTGTTACTGTGATTCAATTTTTAGACTTGGGAAACGCGCTACATGCTTCTGCTGTGGCTCTCTGTGACCTGCCTGATCCCTTTTGATTTTTCTCGCCTTGACGGGAACCTCGTCACCCAGCCTGGGCAAACACGAATGTCCATAATGGACCGCATTCTCCAAATAGCAGAGGTGAATATCGTGCAGATAATGAGCTGCTAGTTTGTCTTCTCTGTCGTGTTCATGCTGTCCTGGTATCAGGGTTTAACTCCCTAAGCTTCTGATACCTATTTATCCAGGTGGTGTTTTTTCAGTGAGGTGAACTCTCACATGATAACTTATTTTGAAACTGTGATAATTCATGTAGGGGTTGGGTTGAATTACTAAATCTTGTTTCTTTGTAGGTAATGCAGATACTGTGTTGAGGGTAATGATGGCAGATAAGGGGTTTAGTGGCAATGGTAAGAGAAAATAAGGCCCATTTTACATTTAGCTCTCAACATTATGTAAATAATACACATTTATTTGTAGGAAAACTAGAAAACAAAGGTAAGAAAAATACTAAAGTTTATCAAATTCTGGTGCCAAGAGATAATAGTTGTTTATTTTCTTCAAACTTTTCTTGATGTAAATATTGTGCATATAAACACAGCTTATTGTATTAGTTACCTGTTGCTTCATAAATAACCCAGACTTGAATGTTTGACACACATTTATCCTCATGTAGTTTCTGTGAGTTGGGAGTCTAGCGTGGCTGAGATGGGTCCTCTGTGTCAAGCTTGCCCACAGCTGCAGTCGAAACTTGAGTTGGGCAGCCTCTGCCCCAAGGCCATTGGAGTGAGGCTGCCCTCAGTTCATTGCCACCTCGGCCCTCCAACATAGTGGCTTATTCCATCAAAGCCTGCAAGGGAGAGACCCTCCTAATGAGTTGGAAGTCATGGTAATATGTTACCTGACGTGGAAGTGACGTCCCATTCCTCTGCCAGATCCTGTGGTTAGCAGCAAGTCACCGAGTCCAACCCACACAAGGAGCACTAGGAGCCTGTCAGGCCATCAGCCATTTTGGTCGCCACGGTCTTCCTGCCGCACTGACTGCGATAGCCCTGGTCAGCATTCACTGAGTGCCTGCCATGTGCTTGGCACCATTCAGACACTCATAGATTAATCTTTAATCACTTATGGATTAATAATTTAACCCATGCATTCGGCTGGGCGCAGTGTTTCATGCCTGTAATCCCTGCTCTTTGGGAGGCTGGGGCGGGCAGATCACATGAGATCAGGAGTTCGAGACCACCCTGGCCAACGTAGTGAAACCCTGTGTCTACTAAAAATACGAAAATTAGCTGGGTCTGGTGACACATACCTGTAATCCCAGCTACTCAAGAGGCTGAGGTAGGAGAATTGCTTGAGCTTGGGAGGTGGAGATTGCAGTGAGCCGAGATTGCGCCATTGCACTCCAGCCTGGGCAACAGAGCGAGACTCTGTCTCAAAAATAAAAAAAAATTAACTTATACATTGATGATTTATAGATCATCAACTGTGATTAATAATCATTTAATTTTCCTTCATGAGGCCGTTGACAATTCTTATCCTCATTTAACTGAAGAGCCAGCAGGCGTAAAAGTAAATGACAGTGCACTTTAAACGGTGGCCCCGTTTAGAGTCCAGGCGGTTTGTCCCTGGAGTCTGCTCCTCACCAGGGCTCATGCTGCCCCGTGACCTGCTGTTCGGAGGCCTGTTTCCCCTCAGCAACGTGTTCTGAGTGTTTTGTGATGTCAGAAAGTGTCCCCTCATAATCGCTACGGGAGGAGCACTCCATTGTAACCTGACTTAAAAATTCTCTCTGATAGATGGACGTGTTGTTTGTCCTAGTTTTGTTATGTTAGAAGTAGTGTGGTGGTGAAGAACCTTTTGCCCACCCTCGTTTGCCTGTCTGCTGAGAGGGACTTCCGGTTTGTCAAGACTTGGCGGTCTGTGATGGTCCTTAGAAAGCCTGCCTTGGACAAAAAGGTCTTCTAAGTGTATCATTTTGGGGAAGAGAACTAGTTAAGATGAGCATTGCAAACCTTTTAAGGCAGCCCTCCTAAAAATAAATCTAGCTGGGTGTTGTGGTTTCATGCCTGTAATTCCAGCACTTTGTGAGGCTAGGGCGGGAGGATAGCTTGAGCCCCAGGAGTTTGAGACCAGCCTGGGCAACATAATGTGACTCAGTTTCTTCCCAAGAATAAGAAAAAAATTAGCCAGGTGTGGTGGTACCCACCTTTGGTCCCAGCTATTCCAGAGGCTGAGTGTGGGAGGGCCACTTGAGCCCAGGAGGTTGATGCTGCTGTGAGTGCTTTTTTTTGAGATACAGCCTTGCCCTATCACCCAGGCTGAAGTGCTGTGGTCCAGCCATGGCTCACCACAACCTCTGCCTCCCAGGCTCAAGCAGTCCTCCCACCTCAGCCTCCTGAGTAGCTGGGAGTATAGACATGTGCCACCGTGCCCTGCCAACTTTTGTATTATTAGTAGAGACAGGGTTTCACCATGTTGACCAGGGTGGTCTTAAACTCCTGAACTCAGGTGATCCACCTGCCTTGGCCTTCCAGAGTGCTGGGATTACAGGCATGAGCTGCAGCACCCGGCCTGCAGTGAGCTTTGATCACGCCACAAAGCAAGACCCTGTCTCAAGACAGCAATAAAATCCCGTGAGTGTATATATTTACTATGTGCCCCAAAATTAAAAACCAAAAATTAAAAAAAATGGATGCATTCGTAGTAAATCTCGGTGCTCTTCAGTTTGGATGTGGCCTCCTATTTAGTCTGAATACGCAAATACTGATGGTTCCCGTGTGCTGGAAGGCACAGTAGGTGCTCAGTGAATACTCTTGATTCTTTGTTACAATTGAGTAACTCGTTTGTTTACATTTTCCTGCTCTATTCTTGCAAATGTGTGTTTCAATGGGGTGTTATCAAACGTGCTGGGTAGCTCAGGCACTTGCCTGGGTGAGAGTAGCAGTTGGCAGCTGGAGCCCTTGGCTCAAATTGAAGAGAGGTTCTTTTGCAGCTTTGGAGTTAGGCCTGTGCTGGTAAGGTTTGTGAGCCTGGGCCCTCGGGGAGCTGGTGAGGGTGGGACTGGCGACTGTGGGGTCCCTGAGGCTGGCATGTGCAGGTGTGACCGTGTCCGTGCTTGTTCTTTCTTGCAGTCCTACTTGGTTGTTGGTGACAAGGCCCGAGATGGAGCGGCCGTCCTCGTGTCCAGGTAAGTTTCTGTGGTGCGTTTCTTGGTGTGTGGCTGCTGGTGGGTTCTGAGAGGGGTTTGTTTGGGTGCTGTTCACTGTGTTATGCGTGTCTTTAGTCCTCAGACAAGGACCTAGGGTAGTCTTTGGACTCCTCAGACTCTGGCTTTCCCTGAGAGAGCGTGCAGCACTGTTTGGGCACAGAAGACCTCTGACCCTGAAATGACCACCCTCAGTGCCGGTTTGGGGTGCTGGTGGGGGTCACCTGACAGGTCCGTCGATGGGAGGGCAGGTCTAGAAGAGGTGTGGCCATCTTCCCTGGGGCACAGCCTCGGCACAGGGATGGGGCGGCAGTTACGAGAAACAGCGCGTGCCATCTCCCGTGGAGGTGATGGGTGGGGGCTGGGCCACTGTGACTGGGGATGAAAATCCCCCAGCGTCCTGTGTTAACTGCACCCCACGTGTACTGCAGACAGGAAGGCGGTTTTCTCTGCTGAGCGCAGTGGGTCTGCAGTGTTGGACGAGTGCCACGAGTATGTGTATAGACCGAGCGGACCTGTTTCATGAGGTGCAAGAAGGAAGAAAGCAATTTTTCTAAATTAGTACTTTACATGGCACATGATTTTAAGTGTGTATGTAGTTTACTAAGTCAGAAAATGTGGCATTTTCCCCCTCTACGATGGTGAAAGTCGAAGGCTGGTCATAAAACCTTTCGGTGGTTGTGATTGGGAAGATGGTCCGTGCCTCATGCAGTGTCACCTTCACTTGGATGGGTAGCTGCAACTTGCACAGCTTCTTTCTCAGAGAAGTGGGAGGAGAGGAGCTTCCTTTCCGGGGCAGTTGGAGGCATTGGATGAGGTGTTCGTGACAGCCTGGAGCTGAGGAAGGAACTCCTGGGTCCCCTGGAGCAGGTGAGGCCCTTGCACCTGAGAGGGCAGGGGCTGCTTCCTGTCTTGTAAGGACATGAAAAGGTTATCGTTTTTTCCTCATTATAAAAGTAATCTGTGTGTATTCAGATAATAGAGTATGATGTATAAAAAATGAAACCCATGAGTGCTTTCATCGTGTGGGGGTGTGATGGCCCCCGTCTCCCTGCCTCTCCGTGGTCTCCCCGTGGGGCGGTGCCAATGCCAACTCTGTCCATGGCTGAGGTGCTGCACTCGCTTCTTTGCACCTTGGACTAGGAGTTGGGCCTTGCGTGTCAGGGTTTTCTTCCAAAACCAGATGACCTGGTGTGAGTGTGTCCTTTTTTTTTTTTTTTTGAGATGGAGTCTTGCCCTGTTGCCCAGGCTGGAGTGTTATGGTGCGATCTTGGCCCACCGCAACCTCCGTCTCCTGAGTTCAAGTGATTCTCTTGCCTCAGCCACCTGAGTAGCTGGGACCACGCCCTGCTAAATTTTTGTATTTTTAGTAGAGACGGGGTTTCACTGTGGTAGTTAGCCAGGATGGTCTTGGTGTTCTGACCTCATGATCTGCCCACCTTGACCTCCCAAAATGTTGGGATTACAGGCATGAGCCACTGTGCGCGGCCTGAGTATGTCTTTTCTACCAGTCCCTTGTGGTGGGACATTTAGACTGCTGCCCTCCCAATTTGATATTAAAACTCAGGGCCGTGAACAGTCCACATAAAACTTTGTACCATTCTGAATGATTTCTAGGGATGAGTTTCTACAAGTGGAATTAACATTTTCAGGGTTTAATGCAGTTACTGGAGAGGTTGAACAAGTTGAAAGTTTTTTCCCCATGTTTACCAGCTGGGTCAAACCTTAAAAATGTTTGCCAACTTTGTTAAGTGGAAAATAGTATCTGCTTTTATTCTTACTATTTATTCATTTATTTATTTTTGAGACGGCATCTCACTCTTGTTGCCTAGGCTGGAGTGCAGTGGTGTGATCTCAGCTCACTGCAACCTCTACCTCCTGGGTTCAAGTGATTCTCCTGCCTCAGCCTCCCAAGAAGCTGGGATTATAGGCGCATGCACCACCATGCATGGCAAATTTTTATATTTTTAGTAGAGATGGGCGTTCACCATGTTGGCTGGGCTGGTCTTGAACTCCTGATCTCAGGTGATCCATCCACCTTGGCCTCCCAAAGTGCTGATATTATAGGCATGAGTCACCGTGCCCAGCCTGTTCTTATTTTTCTTAGCGGCATTACTGAGGTTTGGTAGATTTATGCTGGACTTGATCTTGTGGAGTGCCTTGCCTGTTGGCTGGTGAGGCAGAACCTGAGTATTTATTTCCTCGTGGGATCCTCCAGGAAAAGTGAGAGCTCTGGCTCCAGATCCCTGGCGGACAACCTGGTGACACGCTCAGCGCCACGTAGTGCCGGGAAGAGCAGGTGCGTCTCTCGGCGGAGCCTGTTTCCATGCAGGAACACCAGAGCCTGCGATCTGGGAGGGGTGGTGCCCTGGTGCGTGCGCGGGTGCCTGGGTGGGCGTGTCGGTGCTCTGGGGACATTCTCCCCCTTCTTCTAGCACGCTGATTCTTGGGAGTGTTTGAGAATGGTGGATGCTGTCAGTGGAAGAGCACACTTACAGTTGGGCCAGTTCCTTGGACACCTCCCAGGCTCACCACAGGTTCTGGGTTCCCTGTACTTGTCTCAGACGCCTTTTTGGTGGGGATTGTTACAAGTAAGGCCAGGGCTGTGAGGGGTCCTGTGCCAGCATTTGTCTGCAGTGCAGGTTCGTTTTCCGTTCTCCAGGGAGGATGTGCCTGCTCTAGCCCACTCTGCTCTCAGGTTTGACTGCTTCCCTCTGTATTGCTGGCCACTCTACAGCTGTATCCATCTCCCTTGATTAACCGAGCTTGCCAACATCCACAGTGTTGTAGGTGGCACTTGGTGTTATATTGTTACTAGGACATGCAGATTGAGTGCTGCCTTAGAAACTCTTTAATGGAAAAGATGCTTTTGGCCAGGCGTGGTAGCTCATGCCTGTAATCCCAAAACTTTGGGAGGCTGAGGCAGGAGGATCACATGAGGTCAGGAGTTTGAGACCAGCCTGACCAACATAGAGAAACCCTGTCTATACTAAAAATACAAAATTAGCTGGGCATGGTGGCACATGCCTGTAATCCCAGCTACTCGGGGGGCTGAGGCGGGAGAATTGCTTGGACCCAGGAGGTGGAGGTTGTGGTGAGCCAAGATCGGACCATTGCACTCCAGCCTGGGCAACAAGAGTGAGATTCCATCTCAAAAGAAGAAAAGGCCGGGTGCAGTGGCTCACACCTGTAACCCAGCACTTTGGGAGGCCGAGGCTGGCGGATCACCTGAGGTCGGGAGTTTGAGACCAGCCTGGCCAACATGGAGAAACCCCGTCTCTACTAAAAATACAAAATTAGCCTTGTGTGGTGGCGCATGCCTGTAATCCCAGCTACTTGGGAGGCTGAGGCAGGAGAGTCACTTGAACCTGGGAGGCGGAGGTTGTGGTGAACCAAGATCATGTCAGGTTGTGGTGAGCCGAGATCACGCCACTGCACTTCAGCCTGGGCAACAAGAGTGAAAAAAAAAAAAGCCTTTATTCTTATGGATTACTTTTTTTTTTTTTTTTTTTGAGACGGAGTTTCGCTCTTGTTACCCAGGCTGGAGTGCAATGGCTCGATCTCGGCTCACCGCAA